GCCTCTCCCCGGGGCCGTGGCGGGGCTGCTCGGGGGGCGGAGGAGGGGGGGGGTGTGTGTCCAGCTTCGGTTATTTCGGTATTCGTTTCTCCGGGGGCAGGACCGGAGGTTGTTAGAGTTCCCCCGCGGCCGGCAGCACCGGCTGATGGACGGCGTGACGGAGCCAGGCGGGCAGCTGGTGTGGCGGGCGGCCGTGCGGGCAAAGCCGGGCTTTAACGGGGAACTCCCCGGTGTAAAACTTCCAGCTCTCGGCCCGGGTAGGAAGCGCCTAAAAGGAGAAAGCTTAACTACTTGCCTTGTGTCACCATGGCGAAGGGCTGGGGGGAGGTTGGGGGGTTTCGCCTTGGTTCGGCGGGGGGGCTTTTTGTGTCCCGGGCGTGTTGGAGATGTGCAAGAGGGTGATAAACTAAACCCTTTGGAGCAGAAAAAGGAGCCGGACCGCTTGGCTGGCTCTCCCCGCTGCCCCCCGAGGGTTATTGCAGTCACCCTTCCTCATCCCTTGCGGTGAAATGAGTCGGAAAGCCCTGAAGGGCTTGTGTGTGCCCAAGTGTTAGCGATAGACTCCCTTCCAGCTCTGTTAAGTTGTTAAATCTAACCTAATCGAAGACTATAAGAGCTGAGGGATGGTAAATCTTTCTTCCTTCCCTTTTTTTTTTTTCTTTAATGGAAAACGTGTAAAGTTGGACTCACCACACTTTCCCCCCCTCCCTCCTCCTTTCTCTCCAAAGCTGTCGTGTCTGTCGATGGCAAGCCGGTGAGACTTCAGCTCTGCGACACAGCTGGTCAGGTCAGTGAAGCCACTCATTTGATTTAAGTGACAGCGGGAGGGGAGAAGTTGTTGTGCAAAGTAGTCCTGCTAATGACTTCATGGATTTGAAAGGATTCCCGGCGTTTGAACTTCTTATTAAACTGCTATCGTTTTCACTGTTGCTTAACCCACTGCTTTGCCCGGTGTCTGGTGAAGGGTGAGGGATGTACTTGTGCCTTCGTATCAGGGCTGGGCACCGGCTGCTGCTCTGCTGGCTCAAGCTGCTGCTCTGCTTAGCTTGACTAGAAAGGCTGAACATATTGGGGATTCAAGGGCCACCTGGTTTTCTCGTTGAGCGGTTGTCACTGTCTTTATTTTTGCTAAGTAACTGCGGGCTTAAGAATTATGGTGTTTGGGATGTACGCATGCAAAGCATCCCCAGCTGTACGTGTCCGGAGATAGAGAGTGTGGTTTTGAAGGGGCAGGAGCTTAAGGGAGAAAACAGTCCTATAGGGAGCTGTCTGTGGACATTTCCTATTTGCCATTCCCGCCCCCTAAAAAAGTGCTGCCGCCCCAAAGCCGAGCCTTGCTGTAATCCAAGTCCTGAAGAGATGAGGGTGGCCGATGCCTCTCAGCTCCTAGTTTGCCTGATACATAAAAAGAGCCCATTTCTTACCGCCTTATATTTTCTGCAAGTCCCTGGCTTGTACCACCCTGAGCTGCATGCAGCACTGCTTGCCAGGGGTTGAGTCTGAATAGCCAAAAGTAGTGAAAAGTATTTTGCTACCTAGCTGGCGTTTGAAGGCAGCGGGAGTTAGGTTCCTGTGCAGCTTTGTGGATCTCTGTCTATGCCTTGACCAAAACCACGCTGAAAAATCTCAGTGGCCTTAACATACAAACCTATTTAGATGAGTTGTAACTGGGCGCCCTACTTAGGAAAGGGCTTTGAAGGGCTGTGCAGTCCTAGACAGCAGTGTAGGACTCCCATGAGCCCTACAAACCAAAGCTAAAATCCTACAAGCAGCCTTCTGCAGGTAAGGATACGAAGTAAAAGAGCAGAACCGTTCCCTGATTTCGTGTCCTGCTGAAGAGTCGGGGTGGTACCGCAACAGCCTGGGCTGTGCGTGTTCATACGCAGAGCGTGGCAGGTGAAATTGCCATCGGGTGACAGCCTGGGGACAGGCAGCGCCTGCGGAAACGCAGCCGCAAGCTGCAGGAGGGTCGGGCAGGCCCAGTCACCTCTTGCCTTCGCTGCCGTTTAATGATCAAGATGTTTGCTCTGGCTGTCCAAGAGTCACTGCCTTCAAAATGAAGGGGTTATCTAAACCAACAGAAGTCGTCCTGAATAAAAGATCCCTAGCTGGATACTTTGGTAAAACTGCGGCCGTGAGATGGCTGCTGAAATCTGCAGCTAAAAAAGCACTCCAGGCAGAGGGAAATTGTATTTCAGCATCACCAGCCCGAAGAGGTGTAGAGTTCCCGCAGGTCACGTACCTACCACTGCAGCTGCGGGAGTGTACTTGGGCTATAAAGGGCACTATTTCATCTCGGTAGAAACCCTGAAGATCGGGGTTTGGCTTTCAAACCCATTGAATCGAGCCCTTTAGAGGTTTCTCACGCAGTGAGAAGAGGCAATTACATGGTAAGGTACCTTTCTGTAAACGGTCCTGTCGTTCAGAGCAGCATCTCTCAGTAAATGCGGGGTTTCTCTCGAGCCAAGCAGTAAGAGCCTGGTTTCCTCTGAGGCTTAATCTGAGAATCAAGAGAGCTAATGAAGCTTGCTTTCTTGACTCGTGTTTTATAAATTGCTGTCTCTCTCAGAGATACTGCTGGAAGAAATTCATTCGAGCAGAACAAGACTTCTGAGGCTTCCAGGGGGCTTTAAACTGCATATCCTGGGCCTCCAGAGGCTTTAAAGCAAAATTTCATGTCTCGAAAATTAACATGGAACTTGCAATTCAGCAGTAAACTGCTGGTACCAGAGAGATGTTTTCAGCTGTGTGTGTTCTTTGCACTTTCAATTCAGAGCTTTTGAGAACAGGGTCCGTTTTAATTAAAATGTCACTGCTGCTGAGGCAAATCCTACCTGTTCAGGCTGCTAGTGTTACCCTGCTTTTATCCTGCTGTCAGCATAAAAGCAGCCTGCCTGGAGTTAACCCTTACTTCTTGCTGCATTCTTCGCAGAGGATCAGCTCGCCTTTGTTACCAGAAGGTGTTTGGCTTTCTTGTGGCTAGCTCCTGAAGCTGAAAAAGGGCCTTGCTTTGCTGGAGTTTGCACTAAAATAAAAGAAAAGAAAAGGAAAAAAAAAAAAAGAAAGGTAGCGCTGGGAGGCCTGTTTGCAGTTTGTTTGATGTGGCATGGGTGGGAGGGAAAGGTAAAGCTCTTACTCTATGCCATTGGCATGTTAAGCCTGCACATTGTGAGTCATTATTGCTGCCATCAGATTTAAATCCCTGGGCACAATGGCAGGGAAATTATTCCCATATCCTGTAGGATGTTGTTAAGTAGTCACCAGTTTCAAAGCCTATTCCAGGAAAGGTACTCTTGCTGTCACTTGTCTTGCTCCGCTCTTGCCTGTCTCTGGAGGTCTGGCAGTAGGGGTGTCTGTTGGCAGAGCAGCTTGGAGGTACACGGGTGCTCCTCATCGCAGCAGCTCACCGACTCGCCCCTGTAAGAGCTGGACCTATAAAAAGTACCTTCGCCCTCCCATACTTTGATTTTTGGCTTCGTCGCTCGTGAGCCGTAACCTGCTTCCCGCAGTGTTGCTCCTTTGCTGAAATAGGGCAGAGGGCCTGCGTACAAAGAGCAAAAGAAATATTTAAGCGCTTGAAACAAGCTGCGGTGTTAGAAAATCTCAGCTACGTGGGGAAGCCACCACCTTTGTCCTGTGTGCCCGATGGTGGCAGAGTGCCTGACAGCTCGCAGCCATGCTGGGGGAGACCTCAGGCTGGGTCCGGGCGACTTCTGCTCCTAACTTTGGGTGGTCTGGGTGCTGATATCAGGGTGCCTCTCAAGAGGGCAGCGGCAGGTGATCCTTAGTCCCTCCAAACATCAGCGGCAGGCTAGAGCCGGGAGCGTTTCGGGGCGTCCTCCGGGGCTGACGTGCTCTCGCTGTTGGGTGCTAACGCGATTTTGTTCCGTGCAGGATGAATTCGACAAGCTCAGGCCTCTGTGCTACACCAACACGGACATCTTCTTGCTGTGCTTCAGCGTGGTGAGTCCCTCGTCCTTCCAGAACGTGAGTGAGAAGTGGGTTCCCGAAATCCGATGCCACTGCCCCAAGGCGCCCATTATCCTGGTTGGGACGCAGTCGGACCTCCGGGAGGATGTCAAAGTTCTCATCGAGCTGGACAAGTGCAAAGAAAAGCCAGTCTCGGAGGAGGCCGCGAAGCTCTGTGCCGAGGAAATAAAAGCCGCGTCCTACATCGAGTGCTCTGCTTTGACTCAGAAAAACCTCAAGGAGGTCTTTGATGCGGCCATCGTGGCTGGTATTCAGTACTCGGATACCCAGCAGCAACCAAAGAAATCCAAGTGTAGGACTCCAGACAAGATGAAAAACCTCTCCAAATCCTGGTGGAAAAAATACTGCTGTTTTGTATAGGGGTTGCAAGGACCTGAGTGCTGCTCTGAGGAAATCGAATAGAGGCTATATTAGCTGAAATCTCATTCTGTGTCGTGCCGAGTGTATAGTGTAGATCTGTATGTATGTGTATATGTTGCTACTGGATATCTCAGTTGCCCTTTCGAGGGTGGCAGAAGGATTCTTAGTTAAATAATTGCTATAAATCAGGTCTGGCATCCAGTTTTGTGACTAAAGCCTCTCATTAAGGAAGAAGAGCACCACGTGTCTGTGAGGGTAGAAGGATTTGTCCAAAGGATTCGACTGCTTGTGCTGTAAGGTGTATGCGACGGGGAGGAGCACACCAGAGGCCTTTGCTGCCCGGGCTTCGCAGGAGGAACGCGCGAGCCACGGTGGAAACGTAGAGCTCTGCATGTGGACGATCAAAGGGAAAAATAACACTGTGCCTCCTAACTGACATTTGTAGCTTTAAACCCCCCTCCTGCTCTCTTCTCTGTGTCTTCCCAAGCCAACGCTCTTAGGGATCGCTTTAAAAAGTGTATGCGAGAGGTGTAATCTATACACAAATGCCACGGTTGGAAAGGTCACGAATATACCTTCAGCATGCGGTGAGGGAACCTGATCCCTTACGGAGCTGGCATCTCGTTTGTCACCTCCTGACTTTGTGAAAGTCCTTTCTGTCCTCCTTCCCCTGCCCTTCCCAGGCAGCCGAGCGGAAGCCCAAGAACACGACCAAGCTTTAACTCGCTACCTCGAGCAGTGGCGATTTCCTCTGTATTTTTGCAGACATGACGACAGTTCGTCTATTTCAGCTGAAAGGAATGTAAATGCTGTTGTGTTGGGGGTTTATTTTATTATCTTTTTTTTTTTTTTTAAAGAGATGTAACAAATATCCATGCAGCACCATGTCAACCACATCTGGTTTTAAGTCTACAGCCAAGAATTTCAGGATGTCCCTCCTTACCTTTTAAGGTTGCTAAACAAATAACAAATCAGGCAGATTAAGATCTATAACAAACCGGACTCTAGAAACTGAGGCTTCTGTATCCTCTTCACGATGCTGTTTTCAACCAAGTTAATGTTTCCCTTCTAAAGGCAGCAGTCGCTTGTGGTTGAATCTTGTCCAAGCTAGTAGTCGTGAAATTGGCTGAGGCCACCCCAAAAATTTAACTGATAATTTTTTTTCCCAGATCAGTACAACAGATTAACTGAAATGTGCCTAAAATGTAGCTGTGTGGTCAACGTAGTGCAGAGTTGAGTGTGACCTATTCTCTGACTAAATCTGGTTCCTACTAAACTAAGCCTAATTCCAGCCCCGTTGAGTTTGAAAGGCCTGAGGGATAACATGACTCTCTGCAAGAATCAGTATTTTAACTTATTCTGCAGAGGACATTTCATTTGTGCTGTCTGTCTGTCTGCCTTTTTATGGCCCTACCTACTTTTTTTTTTCCCTAGATATTTCAAGATCAGATTATATTCTTTTTTTTTTTTTCCTTTGGCCATAGCCTTGAAGTGACCTTTTTCATAGTCTTAAACTAAACTGCAGTGACAGAAAGCCGGAACCTTTTTTTCATCAGAAATGAATCAATGCCTGATATAAAGAAGAACTGTGGAAGCCATTTGAGTTGATAAAGATGACCACAGTTTACCTCCTGGCCCATTAAAGAAAACGACACTATGTAAATGGATTCTGGGCTGTATTGGCATAGGGTCCACAGGCAGTATTTTTTCTTCCTCTACAGCGAAATGAGTGCAGAATGGGTAATGTTCCATTGCTGAAAACTTGAAAATGGGATGGAAATCTTTACCTAGGGCCTGATTCAATAAAAATGTGTTGGCTTCTGCACTGGAACAGCCTGGAAAAACAGTTTCCATAGCACAGAAGCTGGATGCATTTAACTTGTTTGCATCTGGTTGGTAATGGTTTAATGTTTACTGGTCATGAAGTTAGCATCTGAGCCTTTATATTTCTTACTCGAATGCTTTGACAGGATCTCAGATATGCAGTCATACCGTCATCTTGGAGAAAAACATAAAGCCAGATTTCTCTTGGGTGCTTTGCTCCTCTGAAAAATGGTCTCAGTCGATCAAAAATGTGGGTTTGAGGAGGAGACAGGCTTGAATCTGAGCAGCTTCCATTTGCAAAAATAACAAAATTTCTTCTGCAAGATCATACTGCTTTATATCATGCTGCACTGGAAGCAGTAGGTTATATTTTATAAGCAGCCTGTTTCATAGTCTGGAGTAGCATTACTTTTAAATGTAGCCAGCTGTGACTGTTTCTGAAAATGTGATGTATATACAACTTGTTATAGCCCTTTACTAGGTGTGTGTAAACTGAGGTCTAATAACTTTATGAATACTGCTCTACACGGGGCTACACAGGGTCTAGGTTTTAGAAATATTACTTTGAAAATCAGCAGTATTTTATGAGCGCAAGTGAGGGGGAGATGTCTCTATGTAGTCTATAATCTGATGTGCCTTATTAAAAAAAACACCTCTCTTCTGTTTTCTAAGTGTAGGCTATATTCCGAAAGAAATATTTCATGTGAGAATGATATAAATGAGGTATTTGGAAATAAATTCTGACCTGTGTACGCGTCTGCCTCTGCTGCCCGCTCGGGGAGGCTGGAGGGCAGACTCTGGCCGTGCACCGCGCCGATACCCGGTGGGAAGGGGGCAGCTCCCGGTGCCCCAGCAAAAAGCCTCTTGTTAAAAAATACAGACTTTTTCCTGCGCTGCCCCGTCCCCAGGGAGCTGGGCTGGGTGGGAAGGGTGCGATGATGGGCTTTGTGCCTCCCCGGCAGCACCGCAGCCTCTTGCTGGGGCCCTGCGAAGCGCAGGCGGGCTCGTTGTCCCTGGCTCCCAAAAATGGGGCGAGCAGCAGGAGGAGCACGGTCCGGCCAGGGCGACACCGAGACTGGTGCCGTGCGTGCCTCGGGGGTGCCAGAGGGCATTTTTGGAAAAGCGGAGCCTGTTGCCTCTTGGCACCAAGGGTCTTGTCACCCCCTCCCTGGGTCCTGTCCCTCATGCTAGGGCGGAGGCATGCGAGGCTTGAGGTTGTTCGTGGCCATGGCACAGGGGCCTCGTCCACCCTTGGGTGCCATGACGGCTGCCCTGGGACCCCTGGGCATCCCTGTGGAGCCAGTGGTCCTGCTGTGAAACTGCTCCGGAGAATCATTTAGGTTGGAAAAGACCTTCAAGATCATCGAGTCCAACTTGCAACTCAACACCACCATGCCCACTAAACCATGTCCTGAAGTGCCTCGTCTACATGTTTTTTGAACACCTTCAGGGATGGTGACACCACCACTCCACTGGGCAGCCTGTTCCAGTGCCTGAGAACCCTTTCAGTAAAGCAATTTTTTTCTAATATACAATCTAAACGTCCCCCGGTGCAACTTGAGGCCATTTCCTCTCATCCTATCACTAGTTACTTGATAGAAGAGACCAGCACCCACCTCACTACAACCTTCTTTCAGGAGGAGCTTTGCTCTGGACCAAGGTTTGTAAACTGTGACTGTTGCGTTTGGTTTTTCTGTGAGCAGAATGGAGCAGGCACATGGGGGTGGAATACCGGAATGCCCTCCCGTGTTGCCTGTCTCCCGAGTCGTAAGGCCAACGTCTTTTCAACCATCAAAACGCGTGCAACCCGCACAAAGTAGAGGAAAGGAGATTGATGTGCTGTTCTTTTTGCCCATGGTCGGTTCCCTCGCTTCTTTTCTGCTTTGTTAACAGGCATGCTGGGGGCTACTGGGAAGCTTGTTCACCTGGTCATGCCTGCAGCACAGCCACCCTGCCTGAGCGCCCGACCCGCCAGCGAGCTCCTTTCTGGTGAGTACGTGGTGTTGAATCCCCGCTGCCGTTGCTGATGCCTTTGAAGAATCACTTCCACTGGGTTCGTGCGCTGGACGGCATGAAGCCGGGGTGTGCTTGCTGGAGACCGAGTCACCCCACCTTTGCACGCTGACTTTGCAGGAAAAGGGGCTGCGCTAGCTGAAAAGCCCAGAACCCGCCGTTGCCAAATCCTGGCACAAAAATCTTTCGGCTACTTGCGGGGCGTTGCTTTTCTGCTGAGGCAGACTGCTGTCTTACGCATCCCGACATCTGGACAGGGCTAAGGCAGTTCAGGTCGTCCTTTACGGCAGGGTAACTTTGTGCACGTGTGTGCTGCTGTGATCAAAAGGCTCCTTCAGCTGCCCCGCTTCAGATACAGGCTGGGCCGGCAGCTGAGCCTGATAAGAGCGTACCGAAGTGAGCTGGCTGTACATAAGGTTTTCCAGGAATGCTGAAATCGCTGCCGCTTTGTGATGGATGGAAGTTCCCAAGAGAGGATTTTGTTTTCTTTCATATCAAAGTGCTCCAGGAAAAAAGTGATCTTTTTTTTTTTCCCATGGAAAAAAATTGTCACCTTTACCATTTTTCCCCAGGTATTTTGTGCATTGGACATACCTCTAGGGTAGGATTGAGGGTTGCCTAGAGCTGAGACATTGTCAAATGTGGCAGTTTTGGGAGAGAGTGTCTCTAAGGAAACTTCACCCCACTTTTACTTTGCTTTTTTATTTTCTGCCTAGGCAGCAGTTACTGACCACAGGGAGGGAGAGACTGCTGCAGGGGGTGGCCTTTTTTATGACTGCATGCAGCTGACGTAATATTGTCATACGTATTATGCTTAAACACTGAACCTCACCAAAGCATGTGAGCGCCCTTACAATTGAGCAACCTTTCTGAGCTCTAGTAGGTAATCGATGTGCTCAGAGGTTTGTCCAGAAGAGACCTCTGTCAACTTCTGCCTTGAGTGTTGCCCTGGCATTCAGCAAGGTGGGGAGAGGGGAAAAACCAGCTACTCAGGGTAGTGAGACACTATAAACCTCAGAAGAACTGGCAAAGGGACTCCTGGGCAATGGGGATTGATAGAAACTACCTACTTTAGGCATAAGCAGATTAAAAGCCCAATTACAGAAATGCATGGGGAAACGAACAGCCCCGAGGAGGGCTGTTAGGTACAAAAATATAGCCTTTTCTTTAGGAAGTCTCAAAGCTGTGGATAGCTGGAAGCTGGGAGGAAATATCCCTGCATGCTACAGGGAAAAATCGCTGCATTTGCTTGGTTCTTACACTCTCTCCCCAAGCACCTCTGCTGGCTAGGGACAGCATGTGGGATGAGGTGGACTTTTGGCATCAACCAGTACGGCCGTCCTAATGTACTTAATGTTTTTGAAAGAGCGGGATGGGTTTCAGGCGAACAGCAGGGCCCCAAGATCCAATAGGACCTTCTGAAGCTTTAGCTTCCCGCATTGCTGGCAGCCGGTGGGAAGATGTAATGGGATGAGTGTTGTTCATTGCCCATTTAGTGCAGTCCTCTATGGTATAACCTGGGGAACAAACAGTTGTGTAATTCAATGAATTTTACCATCTGAGACAGAATATTCTTCAGTGTGACCAACTTAATTCCCCACACTGTTTTAACAGGATGGATAAATCAGTGATGTGTACAAAAAAGGCATAAAGCCCCAACTCGGACCAGCATTTTTACTTCAGCCCCAATTTTTTTAATTCAGCCAGGGAAATGTGTCTAGAGGAGGAAGCCTGAGGAGCAGCCCTGCTGCTGTGCAGG